GTGATCTCTTCCTCCTTTTTGATTTCTTCAGTTCTCAGACACTGTACCATCTGTGTTTAGTCTAGGTTGGTTGGATCAAGAGTCTTTCTCTGGGCCAGATTGGCAGAACTATTTTGTCGTTTATTGAGATAGGGTTGTGCTGTGTCGCCCAGGATGACCTGGAACTCACTATGTAGACTAGACTGGCCCTAAATTCCTGGCAGTTCTGCCTCCGCCTCATGTGTACAGGGGTTACAGGTATAGACCACTACTCCCAGCTTAGAGGAACTCTTGATGAGACCAAACAGAAATAGAGGGTTGTCCAATGGGGTGGGAACTTCAAACTAGACCCTAGAAGTCCCAGGAGCCTTATCTCAGGTACCAGTGTCATAATTTGTTACGAATTCATTTCTGTGCATGGGGCCCAGGACCTTTATATTTAGGAAGAAGCACACATAAAGTTGGAATTATTTATCTATTTGGTGGACACATAGGTGCAACTCAAGGACATTTCTAGTGGCTAAGTAAGTTGTTCAGTGTAGAGGATTTGTTTAGCATCTGCAAGGCCCTGTATTCGATCTCTAGTACTTCAGAAAAAAACAAAAAGAATGCTTTCATATTGCAGAGTCAGTATGTACTGAATCTATGTAATATTAATTGCTTAGCTGTGTTATTAGATGCATTAATCTCTGAACCATTTGAATAAATACAATGCTAAGAGATTTCCCAACTCCTAAGGCTTTGATAAAACACATACAATTTCCTTATTATTTTTGTTATTCAGAGTCAATATCTGACTGTATCTATTATTAATAGAAAGAGGTCAAAGATTACTAACATTTAAGTAGGAAACTGCAAGATGATCTCTGAAGTCATTGAAAACTACAAGGTAAAGCGAAAACGACATAAAATATAGACTAACTGACAGTGCCCTAAAGAAAAGGGCCTTTTAGGAAATAGGTTTAGTTTGAAGAGTGATATTTGTTGTGGTTGAGGTATGTGGGAGAATGGCAATGAATACCACTGAAAGACCAGTTTGTAAGTTGAATTTCTTGTACCAGTAGTGTAGACTATAGGACTCTTAAGAATAGAGGAGATTTATCTCATTTTATGATTTATATTGGTTAGTACTATGTATTTACTTACTTCTACTGTTATTTACTTAATAGTAACAAGAACCATTTCAAGACACATTTTCATTTTACAGGTTAAAAAAAGTCCTGAAACAGCTTCAGTACATTCTTGCAGGTCAAATGCATAATAAAATACAGAATCAGTACTGAAACCCAGGCGGGTTTCTACACTCTGAGTCCCTACACTGTTTAGTGCACTAAACTGTTTCTTTGATGAGAACTGAGAGTCAACTCCCCACCTCCCTTTCGTGATTGTTTTTGTCTTGCTGGAGACTGACTGCAGGGCCGCCACACACCTGGTAGACAAGCACACTGCTGATGCTTTTGCTAAGCAACACCTTCATCTCTGCTGATGTAAATACTTTCCCCATGTAGTACTCTATAATTCTATGCTTATTCTCCTGTGTGTGGATGCTTCTTCCTGTTGTTCTGCTATTTTCAGTCTTTACTGTGTGAAATAGTGTAGATGCAATACTTGGGAAAGAGCTGCTTGCTTTAGTGTTGGTTGGTGGTCAGGAATTGCATTGGGGACTCAAGAAGAGGTGCTACTGTGTCAGGGACCCACAAACCTGCTGCTAATGTGTGGCCGTGAACTTCTTGTTTTATGAAGAAGGTGGTGTAGAGCTGCTGTAAGCTACTCTGCTTCCTGAAGATGGTTTATTTTAAACCTCCATAACTCATGAATTTAGGAGTAGTAGTATCAATAGAATATTTATTGATGTATTTGACTTCAGCCATTCTGGTAAATGTATTCTTTTCTGCAGATTCTGGATTCATAAACATAAGATTTTTTTCTCTCTTAAAATACAGTTTTGGGGGGGCTAGAGAGATGACTACTGTTAAGTGCACTGACTGCTCTGGCAGAGGACCCAGGTTCGAGTCCCAGCACACGCATGGAGGCTAACAAACATCTGTAACTCCAGTTTCAGGGCATCTGGGTCTCTCTTCTGACATCTGCGGGCATTACGGGATATGTACATGCAGGAAATACACTCATACACATTAAATAAAAATTGAAAAAAAAAAACAAAAAAAAAATAAGCAAAAGACAAATACAGTTTTAGAGACCAGGCTTGGTAGTGCAGGTCTTTAATTCCTGTTCACAGGAGACAAAGGCAGGTAGATCTCTACAAGCTCGAGGCCAGACAGGCCGCCATACCAAGTTCCAGGCCAGTTAGGCTTTGTTTCAATAAAAAAAAACAAAGAAACAACCCCCTCCTCCACAAAAAAAATCCCCCAAAAGCAAAACCCCAAAACACAGTTTTTGAGTCACAAACTTATCTCCCATTAGGTTATACTAGAACATGATTTTGTAAGAAGATACTTTAGATGACATTTCCAAAAATTTCAAATCCTAGATCTTACATCTTGGCTATTCTTGTGTTATATGAACCTTAGCTTATGATATGGAGGTTTTAGCAAATGACATATGGTGGAAAGTCTTACTCTTTCTGATCTTAGACATCTTGCCTTTATGGGTTAGCCTTTGTTCATTTGAAAATGAGAAAACGAGTAATCTTAGATGTTTATGGTCAGCTCATCATCAAATTATTTGTCATTTGTTGTATGCATCTTTATCACTCAATGGAGAAAACAGGAAAAATAGCTATAAACATTCCAATAAATAGTAAAGGTAAATTTCCATGTTTATTATGTAAAATATGTATTGTGTACTACATTAAAAATTCTATTTTATTACATTTTTGTGAATTTCATGCAATATATTTTGATTACATTTCAAATCCTTTCCCTATCTGCACCTGTCTTATATCCTACCCCCCGATTTCATGTACTCTGTCATACTGTCATACATATTAAGGCCTATTGAGTCAAGTTTGTATCCCCAAATGTCCTTTGTTGTGCATCCATCTGCTGGAGCCTGGTTAACCTATCTGGGGCCACACCCTTAAGTAAACAAACTCTCCTCTCCCAACAGTTACAGTTTCTAGCAGTTCTTCAGCTATGGTTGGGGATTCTCTACTTCCTCACTTCTGTGCTGGGATTTTTGTCTGGTTTTCACTTGCATAGGTCTTATATATGCTGTTACCATTGCTGTGAGTTCATATGTGTAAATTTCCAGCTGTCTTCAAAACTGTGCCTCATTTCATCCACCACCCTGACTCTTACCATCTCCCCCCCTGCCCACTTCTGTCCCACCATCTTTTGCAATGGTCCCTGAGCCGTGGGTGGCAGAGGTTTTATACAGGTGTCCTATTTAGGGATGCGTACCTGCAGTCTCTTAATGCTCTGCGCTTTGGCTAGGTGTGGCTCTCTGGGTTAATCACCATCTGTTGCATGAGGAAGCTTTGCTGGTGAGAGTTGAGAGATGTTCTATCTTGTACCTTTGATTTTTGCATCTCTAAAACAAGAATGCTCTTTTGGAATTTTCATCATCCAGCATACCTCATAACAGGACAGAGTTATTAATATAGAAGTTGTTATAGTCTCAAAATGATTAAAACAAATATTTGGCATGTTCTTCCCTGCTCAGTGCTTTCTTTAGTCTTGGGAAGTATCCTCCCTTGTTAGGTGTCTCTTCCAGACTGATTGCAACGTTTCCTCTTCCATAGTCTTCTCTAGCCATAGTGGCCTCTTTTCAGCATCGCAGGCCTGGTACTATGAACTTTTTCCTCCTTCCTCTGAAAAGGATGGCTAGTTCTGAGCCTGTGAGTTTATAACTTTCCTGAGAACTTCCCCCCTTACTACCCTAAATAGTCCCTACATGCCCACCACTATAAGTCATGTCTTTTTTAGCACATACTGTTCTTTGTACATATATGCTCGTATACAATGATGCTGTCTTCCTGACTAGTCTCTGAGTGACAAGTCAGCAAGACTGTGAGTCAGTATGCTCCAGTATGTAGCCAGTTCTTGGCAAAGTGATATATTGATGATTATCTAAAATTGGACTCACTATCAGTGGCGTCTCATAGAACTTACAACGTCAATTTTTTGGTAACATTTGAGGGAAGTTGAAAGTGTTTTTATATGGTATTTAGAGAGTTAACTAAGAATTTTCTCATTACACATAATTTGTAAGCTTTTATGCTATATGTTTTACAATGAAATATCTGTGTTCTTTTTAATCAAACATTTGTCCTAATACAGAGGTTACTATTCTTTCTAACAGCAGAGATGTTATGAAATTTGACAAAATGTTCTCCTTGTATTATGACTTTTAAAAAGAAAGTACACAAATGCACACATCTAGACTCTTAATAAACAGATCTGCACAGCAGCTGCCATGCCTGGCAGACCCTGGGTTTACTCAGTGTATCTCCTTATAGATAGGTGCAGTTCATTTAGAGAACTCATGTTGTTTTAGCACTGCTTACTTTCTAGATTATATAGGTCAGATGGCCATAGTTTGTTGACTATGGATTTAATAATAAATGCTAGAAAAACCACTGCAATCACAGAATATTTTCATATATGGAAAAGCCATAAAAAGCAAGTCAGCATTAAAAATGTTAATGTATTTTTAGTGTAAAAGCACCTCAGTTCAGTTTAAATAAAGAGAAAGTGAAAAGGCCATTGGTAAAATCAGGTGTAAAAAATAGGAATATCAACTTAACCAATACAAGCTTGATGATTATGCATCAAGATAAAAAGAATAGTACAGGTGATTCACTAATAAAGTCAACCGTGTGTGCATGTGTATGTATGTGTGTGTGTGTATGTGTGTGCCAGTGTAACAAAAGCACACTTCACATTCTTTAGAGTTGAAAATACCAGGTAATTAAATTCCAGTTTCTGGGGTGGAGGCAATTCTATTTCCTTCTGCCTACTATGTTGTGTGAGGTAAGATTCAGGTGCATATGCCTTATTTTAAAGCAGCAAACTCCCTTCCAAATGTTGACTTCCCAGTGACTCTCTTCTTCCTTTCAGGAGAGCACACAGCTGTTACAAATGCCGCCAGTGCAGTTTCACAGCTGCAGATACCCAGTCACTGCTGGATCACTTCAACACCGTTCACTGCCAGGAACAGGAGAGTACTGCGGCCAACGGTGAAGAGGATGGCCATGCCATACCCACCATCAAAGAGGAGCCCAAACTTGACCTCAAGGTCTACAGTCTGCTAAACCCAGACTCTAAAATGGGAGAGCCGATTTCTGAGAGCGTGGTGAAGAGGGAGAAGCTCGATGACAAAGAAGGGCTCAAAGAGAAAGTTTGGACTGAGAGTGCCAGTGATGACCTTCGTGGCGTGGCCTGGAGAGGGGCTGACATCCTCCGGGGCAGTCCATCCTATACTCAAGCAGGCCTAGGGCTCTTGACGCCTGTGTCCAGCTCCCAAGAGCAGACAAAGACTCTGAGGGACAGCCCCAATGTCGAAGCTGCCCACCTGGCACGACCTATGTATGGCTTGGCCGTCGATACCAAGGGATTCCTGCAGGGGGCGCCGGCTGGCGGCGAGAAGTCTGGGTCCCTCACCCAACAGTACCCTGCATCCGGGGAGAGCAAGTCCAAGGATGAATCCCAGTCACTGTTACGGGTAGGAAGGTTTAAATTTTCAATAATATATATGCATACGTCTTCAGAAAGGAAAATGAGCAAACAGATTTTCTATATTTAGTTTTATGTTTTGTGAAGTGAAATTAAATGGATCGTATGACTATGAGGGTATTTTATACACACTATGCGGAAGGGGTAGAAAGTAGCTCATGTGTGTTTGTGTGTACGATGCACAAATCCAGTACCTGTGTAGGCAACTGGCTGTTTGTCTTTGTTCTCAGCTCAGATTGGATGTTGGCTAATCCTGCCTCCCAATTATGCAAGCAACAATGCAGTTTTGGAGAAGAGAGGTTTCTAATCACAGAAGGATGCACATCTGTTACATTAAAATAACTAAATGACTTTTAAATTTTAAGATGCTGTGGCACAATACATAGTTAATAAGGGAAGTTAGAAGAGTTTTAAAATAGTAAGAATGTAAACTCCTGGGAGAAATGTTAATACAGAAAGTTGTGTTTTTTAAAACTTTCAGAGTATGTGTGTGTATATACACACTTGTATATAACAGTGCTTGAAAAGATAAGCAAATTCTAAACATGAATGGTGGGAAGACTGCCCAAAGAAAAATACCTTGTATTTCATATTATCAGGACCTTTTTAGGGAAGAAGACAGTACCCTGTGGAAAAATGAAAGAGAATCTTCAAGTAAGGAAAAAAACCTTCATTTCTGTCTTCAGCTATGTAGGCTCAATATTTTTAGGAAACATTTTAGCTTTTGAAAATTCATGAGTTCCTAGTGTGTGTTTTGCCTAAGGCAGCACCCCTTCAACAGTTCATCTCAGAGCTAAGAAAGTTTAGAGCTTTCTGGATGATTCTGAAACTGTGTTCCTGCACAGAAGGTAAGATCAGAGACTAGCTAACCTTACAAAACAAAACAAAAAACAGTTAGGAAATGTAGTTCAGTCAGCCCAGGGCTTTGACCTGTGGGTCAGAGACAAGATCTGGAGGCAGGGACACTGGTGTGAAAATTGCTCTTCTGTTTTTTGGGGCTTAGCTTCCTTCCTTTCGTTTCCTGTGATGCTCAGAAGCCTATGTGTGTGACTTAGGAATTGAGGAATGGCGTTGAGGAATGCCCCATGGAGGCGCATAGTTAATTATAAAAACTTAGTTTTCATGCCTGTAATCAAGCCCTGGAGCCAAGAGGCCTTGTGTACAGCAGAGGGGTTGGCCCTGTACACTAGAAACTGTGCAGCAGCACCAAGTGCACTCTAATCATCTTAGGAGAAACAGATCCTCCGCCCTTGAGCAGTGGGTTCAGTTCAGGGATCTGCACTCACCTAGCACTATGAAGATGCATCAATGCAATTGTGAATATTCTTTGTTTTCTTAGTACGCAGCATTTATCTGGTCCCACGGGTCTTTTATCGCTTCTGGTTGTGAGAGACAATGGATGCCTAACATTTTATTAATTTCCTGTCAGGTCTTGAGAATGTGGTACCCTTTCATTTTTCTTCTTCCACTTTAAATAGCTTTTGTTCCTATATTTGGTGCCAAGTTGTTAGAACCTTTTTCAGTCCTTCTGGTCTATCAAATGCTCTGCAACCTTTTGTCCTCTAAGAATTTGGAATAATAACTGACTAAACAGTAGATTGAAAAACCCAGTCAATCAAGCTGAGAACGGTGGAACTTCTGAAAAACAATTCATTTTCTTCAGTTTCTCTACTTCCTTAATTCCCTGACTCTGAGTTTCTGTTGCACCATTTTAACTGTCTTTTCAGTTCCTCCCCATTAGCTGTGAAAGAAGATCTTCAACCAAACTCTTCAGTGACTAGCTCAATGCCTAGCTCTTTGAGATATGATCTGCAATGATTATTGTCTACTAAATTTCAATTTCAGCGTGTACATACATACCTCTCTCTCTCTCTCTCTCTCTCTCTCTCTCTCTCAACAGGGTGTCCATACACACACACACACACACACACACACACACACACACACACACACCTTTTAAAAGCCTGATTTGGGACTGGAGAGATGCTGAGTGGTTGAGTGCACTGGTTGCTCTTGCAGAGGACCTGGGTTGCCTTCCCAGCACCCACACAGTGGCTAAGAGCTGTCTCTAACACCAGTTCCAGGGGATCCAACACCCTCTTCTGGATTCTGCAGGTACATGCATGGTGCATGTACACTTGTACGTATAAAGTAAACATAAAACTGAAAGATAACAACCTGATTCATTCTTCTGCAGTTTAAATAAAATATGAATTTTAAAAATTCATATTTTTGCATTTGAATAATGTCTTTAGAAACCTTCAGTATTATTGAGAAAGATTAGCTGTTTGGTTTCTTATGCAGTGTTCAGTTTTTTAACTGAATTTAGATTTCTTTTTTTGATCTGTACATTTCTTAGTGAGCTTTCAAAGAAACTTAGGATAATTAACAAGCAGAGAGGACTCTATTTGTGAAATTGAAATTCCTACCTTGGTTGTGGAAAATGGAATACTAAGTAATAGCAAATATACTATTGAATTATTCAGGAGGAAAAAAGAGGAGTCGTAATGTCACGTTTAATTTGGTACTTGTCAAACTCTAGCTATTAGCATATTTACAAATGCACAATAGCAGTATAGAAAACATTAAAGAAAGTAGTGAGTGAGTGAGTCCTACATAAATTAAGGTAGAGTATTCATTTTTGAGTTTATATAGTAGAGTGGGACTTAAAATGAACTGTTTTGCTGTTGGGCATGAGTTTTTACAAACAGAAACTTGCGTGAGAAATGAAAAATATCTGGTTTTAAAAGTGAGAGTTTTTATAAATTCATTCAATATAGCTTGTAGTACATTATGTTAATAAATAACAATATGTAGATTGCTGGTACTAAGTGTAAAACCATAAATCATGTAAATGACATATGAGGTGATATAACAACTAGGAGCATGAAAAATTGTCTAAGAACAAGTTGATTTAAAATAGTTTAAGACTGAAACTGATAAGAAATGGAAACATTTCATGAAAGGCTGGGTGTATTTAGGATTCTTTCACAAAACATATAGTTATAATGCTGTTTTCAGAGTATCAGTCTTGGGATACATATTTTATTTTTCATTTTAACAAATTAATATTTTTTTCTGGTTTTAGTGATAACAATTTACTGTTTTTCTTGAAAGTTAGGAAATATCACAAGAAGAGCTGAAATTTCAAAATATGACTTTCATTAATGTTAGTCATTTTCTTCTGTTTTTCTTTTCCTTTCTGTCTGGGTCAGTTCGCCCTTTGTTTGGGGCTAGGCATCAGCTCATTTATATATGTTCTCGTTTAGTGAATGTCTTTGTATTTTCCCTGTGTTATGAGTATGAAAGACCTAGTAAAGAATTTGAAGTTGCCCATGTCACCTGTGTGGAGTGCTGTGCTTAGATGGTGATAAGTGACACAATGATATAAACTTTTCCTTGTAAATTGCATTATGAAATTAGTTTTTTTGCGTTGCATATCAGCCAACCTATATTACCATAAAACGTTTGAGTACTTTGTGTTGTGAGTTGTTCGATATATTAGAATTTTTAGACTTTTTAATAAAAACCTGACTCCTAAAAGCGGTTAACAAAGTTTACTAAGTAAAAAATGCAGTGTTTTGATTTGGGTTTAAAATTTGGACACAGGAGGAAGTTATGTATTCAACATTACACATGCAAAACTAAGATAGTCCAATTAATTGTATTTTTCCAGTAATTTTTTTCCTTCATTGTTAAGTGATGGGGTATCATCCTGACAAGCTTACACACAGTTTTGTGCTTTTTTCTTTCTGGTTTCTTTTATAATATAGTTTTACATATGTATGTATGCATGTATACATTTTTAGGCAAACTCATATAAATGTAACTGTACTGACCTGTATTATTTCCTGGCTGATATATTTGGGGTTTTATTCTTGTGATGAAATTTTTAAGATGGATTTTATGATAGGACATTTAGTCTTTCACCTGACAACCACGTGACTAGGGAGAAACAATTGATACTTAAATGCCACAAAGGTTTTGCAAGCATCAAATGGAGTTTTCATTTAGGCAAATGCCCAAGCCTAGGGAAGTGGAGTGGGTGAATCTGTAGGAGGAGTGGGGCAAACCACCATCCAGGTTAGCCTCTCTCTGCATGTCATTTGCCAAGACAAGAGTAACTTAGCTGGATGTGCAACTTTCAGATACAAATTTTTCCTTAGGTCCCAGGACTCCAATTTTTAAATACCTTTTTCAGCACAGCTAGGTGAAACTAAGATACACTGAAATTGATTTGGAGCTACTTATTCAACATATTTAGCAAAGTTAGTCAGTTTTAACATTCTGTACACCTTGACTGCAATTGAGATACTGAGATGTGGGCCTGTGGGACGTATTGAGTTCCAGGCCAGGCCATTGCCTGTCAAAGGTGGGCCTGCAGGAAATCCAGCCATCTATCTTTGACCCAGGATCTACTGCCTACCTTCCTCACAGGAGGGCTGTGTGGCTTAGTTAATTAATGTCAGCCTATTTGAGATCCTCAGATCCAAAGACTTGGATAAGCAAAAGTAGTCTGATTATTTGTTCCTTCTGTAAATGTGATACCAAGGCAGTACAATGCAGACCTATTTCTCCCTCTCTTTAATGGTGTTAAATTTATAGTTTAAAGGTTGTTGATACCAGGAACTCTATTCAGATGCAAAAATGTTCTTTTGGGAACCATCTGCTGGCAGCCTAGCAGACCTTCAAATAAGTACCTGTGTTGAATGCCTTTACAACCACTGACACAGACCTCAGGGACTTTTTTAAACTAAGGATGATCTCAAGTGAAAAGTGTGGTGTATTGTTTTGCCTCATATTTAAACAAACAAAAGTAGAATTCAAGCCATCCTACAGATAGTATGTATCTAGTGTCTATATAAATAACCATTTTCCTGATCTCCTTTGAATGTTTTATCTGTACATACATCCAAGACAAGAGGAATCAGACTGTATCAGGAGCCCATGGAAAGCACAGGCCTCTCCAATTAGTAATTTTGAGCCATG